ATGGAGAAGGGGGAAATATTCAAGAGTCTCTTTATTCCTGTTCCTCAATCTTCAACAATCTACTTATGTTCATGTTTCCAAATCCATTGTTTATTTGCTCGTTTGTTAGCTTAAGACAAGAGGCTATCTGCTTATGGTAAAGGCATGCTCTCTTGGAAAATTTTCTAAGGGAAACTGGTTCTTAATCACGTTACACATGAGAAAAACAAGAAAATCCTCATGCATTCAGCTATTTAGCCGGGATTCGACGTCTTCAGTCGAATTTTCGGTGCACAGCAGGTTTATCCATTCAGCTACTGCTGAGCATATTCTAATCCACTCTTAGTTTAGTTTTCTCAGCTTAAGGATGTTTGTATTCCCCGGGACTGGATCCTGGTTTTGCCCATGCAGCTCACCTTAACATTATTCCATTAAATAATGTTATCTTTAAAGAATCATGTTTCTTAAACAGCACGGTATATGCTTTAGTTCGCTTTTCTGATGATTTACTTAACGTCCCCTTACCAAAACAATGTTTATAGACACTTTAAAACAAAAATTTATCCGTAAATAGATTTTTGCAACTTAGCATTGCTAACAGGATTCGGATTTAGTAATTATCAATTTTGTAATTAGATACCGGAAGAGTTTTTGAATTTCCATCTGTGGCGAAAATATGCTTGATGCTAAAACAATTTACTTTTTCCTTCTGTTGCAGATATTATTAAATTTTACTGAGACAATGGAAAATTTTCTTTTTCCGAAGTATGTACATTAATGAAAGAATATTCATTTAAGGTTTTCTAATTCGTGAATAAATGCCTCAGTAATAGCTTGCATAATTATTTCAAATTACCTGTAAAATAAATGTGAAACATTAATGGTTTTACTGCATAATATATAAAACCTGTACATCACAAATTTGGCGAAATTTTCTGGCTTGTTTACGAATAATTACAGTTTGAGAACTTTACTGAAGAGTTTTGCATTACCTTTTCTAAACCAAATTTACCTCTTCCAAGTCAGGTTCTTAAAATTGAAATAAATGAAGTTTATGATTTTCTTTTGACCTTTTAATACCGAAGAATGAAATACGCATTCACTAGACAGAGATTATACATTAACCTTTTATACCTTTCGGAAGAAGATGACCGTGTTAAAAACTGTTTCCTTTTCTTCTCCAACCTCCCCCTTCCCGCGATATGTTTACGGAAATAAATACCTGCCGTTTGACTGAACCCAGAGGATGATCGCAAAGCACTTCTCTTTCAATTTCTAACTCAGGGTTACTTTTTGAAACTGTTATCACTAAACTTCATCTGCACGCCATTACACCTCGTAACCGCCCCTTAGCGCCTTGTACGTGACGCCATCTTGAAAGCCGGCTTCTTTCACAGTCCATCGCCACCTGGTGTGATATCGCAAAGCGATATTTGGCCAAATAGGCCTCTAAATCGCTTTAGCGATCGCACATTTGTTATCTGATTCGTTCAACAAGGTCCGAGTTTCGGGATCGAAGAAAGATTTTATGGCCTTTGTTACCTTAGAGTAATATGTTTAACATCGTTTCCAACTTCGTGTTTAGGCTTAACGCCCACTCGATTCAGTTGAATAAATAATAGCGATGAAAATTCTTGTGCTCTTGAACAAAGATGACGGCGAATTAAAAACAATTTTACGTGTTGAAGGGAAGGTTTCAAAAGGAAAGAATAAATGGTCGTAACAATCGATGCTGAGATACAGATGAGACTTTAAAGGACTCATACTTTTCATTATTTTCAGTGACAATTAAATTCCCAGGAACAGGCAGAATTTATATTTTAGAGCCTTATTTATTATGCTAGTGTTTAGTGGGTAATTAGAAAAGTTACCGAAAATGCGCATACAACAAAGGTCTTAGATATTTAGCGAACATACACACGAAATAAAGCTATAATAAATATTTACTCAGTTCTGAGTTTGCCAACGAATATAGTTTTCTTAAAGATCTTAAAATGAGATTTTGAAATTTCTAGAATCAAAACTGTTTATTAACTAAAATTCTAGTTCCATACATTTGGAAAAAAGACAGAAGAAATGGCATGTATTTCCTTGCATTCTTGCATACAGTCATTTTTTTCCCCTAATGGTCATGCCATATTGCACTGAAATGTTTTCACAAAGATTCAAATCATAGAAATGAATATTTCACACAAACTTCTAAGCGGAATTATTTTAAACAATGAAGCATTAATGGCGGATAGTTGAAGAATTGTTGCACCAGTTATAGCCGGTAATTTCAAAGTAGGCAGTTCAAGTTCGTAACGACCCTCACCTCATATATAATTTTAACGTGTTTCCTTGTCACCGCGGCAGAGGGGATTAGGGCATTTTAGCCAATATGAGAATTTCGCCATCTTCCACAACAATCGCTACCTTAGTTACGAGGTAAGTCTGGAGGAGAATGAAATATCCTTGAACTGTATATCCTAAAGTAACATGCTTTAGAACAGGCACGTCAATCTCAATACCTCGAGTAAGCCAAATCGTCACTAATGTGCAACAGTACAGACCGCAAGGAAAAAAAAAAGCCATTTTGTACTTAATGTGTATTTAAAATGTGAGCAAATTCATAAAATTTCACCTAATACTGCAATTCATTGAAAAAAATGGAAGAAACATAAAAATACCATAGCAGTACATGGATACCTAATCGTTTCTCTCCCTGCACTTCATCTTTTTTTAACAACCAGTGTTTGGATGCCTTGAGACAACCTGCTCGCACTGCCGATTTTCAGAACAGAGGTTAGATTAATATCTGTTAACCTGGATTTCGCTGCGGACTTGTTTCTTTTCATCACCCCTCAGTGCCATTTATTTAAGTGAAAAAAGTTTATCATTCCAGTACGTACTATCAAACAAGGAAATCAAGTACGATGCAAAACTGGGCATTCTGGGAACTGTTCGGGCAAATATTTGTAAAAATCTGAATACCCACATTATCAAATTTTTGCTTTTTATTTTTGAAACTGAATTTCTCTTAATTTCACCTGCAAATGGACTGTAACTTTCTGGAAGTCAGTTGAGAGGACACTTTTTTTAAAGAGAGAGTTTTGTTTCTTAAGAGTCCTTTTTGACATCCCAGTTGTATATAAACCTCAATTTTGAGTGAAATTCCAGTTTAAGTTATCATATAAAGAAACATAATATCAGGCATGAAATTTAAAACAAATTTTTACACCCGTCCTGCACTATGGCTGCAGGATTTCTTTGCTTTGACTCCAATTTACTTTTAACTTTAGATGCTTTACGTTTATATATGTATATATATATATGGAGTTAATACCAAATTAGATTTAGCCAATTAATATCTTTATTTGAAGATTTGCAGGCACACTAGAATAACTCCATGTAGACAATATACTCTTTAACCATAGCAATTACGATAATTTCTTATATGCACAGGTAAAAAGATGCGACGTCATTTCAGGCAGGGAAGCAGAAGCAGCGTAGAGTTGTTTGCATGGCAGAAGTTAGGGGGAAAAAGGAAGCGTAGTGCCCGTGACTCAGTATTTATACTTCGTTAGGCACAGAAAATATTCTAAGCTGTGATTGATCAATATTAGGTTTAGTTATCTTTTTCAAGCAGTATTATTTAATTTGGAATTATCTCGAATTTGGGGAGAATTTGGAGATATTTATGTATATAGAGAGAAACTATTTATAATATATCAATATTTAAAATCGCTGTTAAATTATAAACATTGCTCAAGCTGATACATTTATATAAATAGATTTTGCTAATCATAATGCTTTTAAGAAAAAAATTATCGTAGTTATATTCCATGCCGTATGAAGCATCAGATATGCTGTTCTTCTATTAGTGATCTGAACTGATTTTGCCATAATTCAGTATGTAGTTCAATACCATTGCTCTTAGTAGAAGATAATCAATAATTTAGTACGTAGTTCAACATCAATGCCCTTCAAATCAAATTATCAAATAACTTCTGAGAATGACAGTGGAGTACATAGCAGATTTAGAGATGTTATTGTTGTTGTTGACCTGTATGTGTCTTCATATGTGTAAGTGTATGTGTTTATATATGCTGTAATTAGTGTCTAACAAAGCAAGATGTAACAAATCATTCGCCTATCGATCAAAACTAATGTATTCTTAAGACGCCTCTGTATGGCCATGTACAGTTCTTCAATAAACCCCCGAGATGGCCTCATGAGGCTCCAGGGAGTTGCTGCCACTAAATAGGGGAGGGCGCGGGACATATGCCTGTTTATTTCTATTAAACACCAGGCGTCCCCGTCCTCCGTCACCTGTCACATGTCCATGTATTTTATGGAAGAATGGTTGCCAGAACATCAAGGAGGTTGGACTTCTGCTTTACAACCGAATTTTGAGGGAGAACACCCCGGGGAGTGTTTCCGAAGTCTCCCAACCCTCTCCCCTACCACCAAAACCCCACGAGAGGACCTTCGGCTCGCCATATAGTTAGAGTGCCCCCCTGCCGCAAAGATTCTATACATTTACAACATCTATGCCTTCCCCGGGATTCGAACCCGGGTCCTTCGGAACCACAGTAGGCTTACAGGGAATGGGTAAGGAAGGGTTTTAAGAGGGGATGTCCGCAAGGTTCCTGTCTTGGACTCGTTCTTTGGAACATAGTTGCTAACTCAGTTTTTTCAGTCTTTGAAAACAAAGAAGGAGTAAGGCTTTTAGCATACGCAGACGACTTTTTACTCATTGTAGCAGGCCGAAGCGACCTTGAAACGCGAACTCAGGATAGCCTTAATTTATTTGCTGACTGGGTGAGAGAACATAAACTGAAACTCTCGGTGCCTAAAACACAAGCACTCATAATTAGTCGAGGCTCTCCATTACGTAGAAATCCCTGTCTAAAACTCTTGGGGTCCTCCATTAAATGTGTTAAACAACTTAAGACCTAGGAGTAGTAATAGATAATAGACTTTCCTGGCAACCACACATCTCTTCTTTAAAGTTAAGAATCAATAGACTGACTACTTCCATGCGATCAACAACCTCGTTAAGATGGGGTATCCCATGTAACTTGCTTAGAATATGGTACAAGACAGTAGTGGAAAGAATTATTCCATATGCCGTTGCTATTTGGGGAACTAACATCTCTTCCCAAATGAGACGTTCACTACTCTCCATACAGCGACACCAGCTTCTTCTCATTTGCAAGGCTTATCGTACCACGTCCACGGCAGCCTTACAAATTATCGCAGGCACGCCGCCACTGGACTTGTTAATTGAACGAGAGGCTGCAGTGGTTAACGTAAGCAGACTACGACACACCATGAGTCTCTGGGGACAAATTTATATCCATATTGATTATGAGCATCACATACCGCAAGCTACCTGCCACCCTGCTAAAAATAACCTTGTGGACAATATCTACTTTAATAGAACACGGGACTTGGGATTTGCAAATGGTGTTTTCACTGATGGCTCTAAAACGTCAGGGGGCACGGGAAGCGGATTCTGTATACTATCTGGAGGAGCTTTAACGTATGAGTGGAAAAGAAAGCTCGCTACTGAAAACTCTGTCTTTCAGGCGGAGCTCATAGCAATCAGAGCAGCTCTTCTCCACCTTAAGAATAATCCCACAGTGCCCAATATCATCTACACAGACTCAGCCTCAAGCCTCGCTGCGATAGCTGGAATTCGTTCTCGCAGTCCTATTGTCAGCAGCATTAGAGACATTCTAACACACATGCCTGCATCGCAAAGACCCTCACTCATCTGGGTGCCCGCTCATACGGGAATAGAAGGAAATGAGAGAGCAGATGTTCTTGCAAAGGAAGCAGCAGATTCATCCACTTTGCGAGAAGTCCCGACCCTTAGACCAGTCTCGGACCTAAAGAGTCGGATATTCCATCAGGTCCTAAGAATATGGCAAGAACATTGGGATCAAGCCTCCACAGGGAGACGTGTTTACAACCTCATTCCCAAGGTCAAGACAGCAATCCAAACTAACAGCAATTACATAACGTATTTCCTCACTGGTCATGGGCCCTTTCCTCTGCCGCTTTGGCTTGAGAGAGAATGGTAACTGTGAATGTGGGGAGGAGGGTCATCCAGATCATTTTGTCTTCTCCTGCCCACACACAGCACTTAACAGCCTCAAGCAACCAGGAGCCAGATTCTGGCCAAATTGGTTCCAGAATCTACAAAGTAACAGATTTGCCTAGCGGAAACTGAAAACAATAATTGACTACTGTATTAAATTACTCTTCTGACACTGGAAGATAGTAGTCATAAAAGTCTATATAAGCTAGTACAATAGGTCAGCAACAGAGTATGTGATATGTATGTACAATATGTAATTTTGTATTTATGCTGTGCCAGGTTTTCGTACATAAAGTTCGTACTGTATCTGAATGCTGTAATGTAACTGTACATGTTTATATCTTTTATTTATGGTACCTAATTCATACTAAGGACCACGCGTACCTCAATGGCATGCTTCTTGTAAACTTTAACTATCATGATAACGTATATGTATGGGTGTGTATATCAATATGAGTGAGAGTATGTATACTTTTATTTGTTTCGGAATATCTATGTATGTAAGTGTGTACTATATATCTGTATATGAGTTTGTATTTATATGTATACACATATATTTTAATTGTACTCTTCTTCAAGTGTCTTGTATGCACATGTATATATTTCTTTGTACATTGTTGTACTCTTCTTCAAGTGCCTTGTATGCACATATATATATTTCTTTGTACATTGTTGTACTCTTCTTCAAGTGCCTTGTATGCATATGTATATCTCTTTTTTTTTGCATTTTATAAATGTCGTCTGCTCAGCCGGGGCTGTCCAGGCCTGCGGCCTGGTAGCTAGTGGTTGACTCTCGCCGAGTTGGTAACCAATTCTGCATGGATATATCTATACCTGGGTCGGAAGCCAACTCAGCGGTTTACCTCCCCTATCCACTATACTGTCTGGGCGGCAGTTTTAGGAATCATTTTGCGCAGTAAGATAAAATAAATATCTGAGCAAATATTCAATATTTCTATAAGCAGTTTAAAATTTAGAGTACTAATGCCTAGTTCATTTAACGGTTCAATGGTATTATATTACGTAGCAATTATCTGTTGCACAATTAGCTACCAAGAATTTTTTTCTTTTCGTACCTATAACATAGTAATTTGCGAGCTCAAATTTTTTTTTTTTTTTCTTCCAGATTAGCAATACAATTAGTTTCACTTACTGTGTTCATAAAAAGGGAGTTGGTATCGATTGAGCTGATGAATGAAGATGGAAATAGATTTTGTGACATCTTCATATTCTTTATGCGATTCTTTTACTTCAGGGCAAAATATAACAAATTACACGTGTCTTGACTTAAAAAAAAAGTGAAAAGTTTTAACTTATCGCTTACCAATGTACTTCTAGTTAACAACTTTGCATAATTTTAAAAATCAAATAGTGTTTTATGCTAAATTTAGTACGACTTTTAATCGCTAATATGCTTTACAGAATGAATCTCTTCTTGGAAGTTGTAAAATTATAATAAAATAGCTCTCCAAGCATTTTTCATTTAATAAATACTCTGGGTTGAATAATAACACCATACTTATTTTCCATTATCGCTTCCCGATTTCTCCAGAGGCCATTTAATATAAGTCATCCATAATAAGAGTAAACTGTTCCTGTTGTGGCTAAAACTTTCATCACCTGCACAATGCTTTCAAGAACTTAAGGAGGAAATTATGTTACGACGCACATAATATCCCAGGGAGAAAGAAAGAGAACTCTTGTAATGAGAGAAAAGTGCCTTTCATTCTGCCTAAACCTATCACAACTCCAATTCATCTCTTTGTGTGGTCGTGACTCATTAAAGCTTTCTTTTTCCGTACGCACTTCGGTGAGTGTGTGTGTTCAGAAGACAAAGCATTGATCAGAAGCTCCAAAAAGCGAGCAGTTGTTTTCTTATCCCCTTTTCCCCCATGATCTCCATGCGATAAGTAAGCAGTAGTCAGTTTTTTTTAAATGTTATAAGTCGATTTTATATGAAAAATTCCTCTTCTACATTCCCATGGTTATGTTCAAGATTCTTTATATTAAAATGTGAAAACCTTTATTCTTTAGCACTAATAAAAGCAATTTGAATTTCGACTAACACATATATTGCAGAGTATGTGCGATGAAATTATGACTGTGACAATTAGGTTTCACTAATGAAACGGTGATATCCATAATAGCAAGAGACACGGAAGTTTATCTCTTCGAGTAATCCCAAAAAGAATCAAACCCATGTTTAAAAGTAGCACTTGCCACACTTCTGTAGCAAAATAAAAGCAACGTAAAGAGTACCACGGCAGAGTTTAGATTCTTTTAATTTATAACAATGAAAAAAATCAACACATTCTATATGTTGATTACCCTTTCATCACACGAGGGCATATAGCATATATTAATTTCTAATTGGTTTAAAATTTTTAAGTTATATAAGGTTACTCTACAAGTCCTTCTGCATAATTAATTGCTTTTTTAAACAAAACTTAGCAGTCTGCACTATATCTATGAAAGCTAATTTTAACAATGTAATGTGTATTTTACGAAGTTGATTACGCAGGTTTAATTCGTGATGAATAATTTGCTGTTTTTCCCCTAAACTTCCAATATCTATTTATTCTATTCTTTAAAAAATCCATTTTAATTTGTTTTATCATTTCAGTACGTATTTATTTTTCATATTTTGTTGAAATGCACGAAGAATAGAATGACTCACAATAACAGGCACATGGTTGGTTATTGATTATTTGAAAATATGACCAAGTAAACAACGGGAAAGGGATTCCTTCTAAGTGGAGGATATTCTAAGTGAAATTAGCTCTTATCCACGTAATAAATTGGGAAAATCACGAAGACCAACCAAAAGCCAGCCGTTTTGCCTGGGTTTGATGTTAGAACGGACTACCAGTATTCAGCAGTGTTTAATCCATCGGTCTCTGGAAGGGGGTAAAAGCGACATAGGTTTTGGTTTATGTAAGTACGGCAAAGCCTCGACGACTATATGCCTAAGGGAATGGATGCCTTCGTGGAGGTCTTTCTAAGGAAAACTGGCTTATATGCACGTTACACACGGGAAAACACGAAAACGCCATGAAACCAGCCCGTTCGGAGGATTCGAAGCTCGTACCGAACTACCAGTATTCAGTGACTTTACCGCTCGGTCGATGGTAGACCAAAAACGACATGGAAGCTGATATGTATTATATATTATATCCCGTCAGTGTCTATTATATTCCGTCTATAAGTCTGCTATGAACTTTGTTAAAATATATGCTCCTCTCTAAAATTGCAATCCTGATCCTGAGTTCTTGATCTATACAGTTTTTAAAAAGCAAAACAAAAAAAAAAAATTTGCGAGATAAATATGCAGAAAAGTTCATATAGAATAATAAATAATAGAAATGATGTAGTAAAATTAAAAGTAACAATAGCAATCCTCTGCATTTACATTTTCATTTACTTACTACATTTTGGGGGCTTTCAAAATGCGACTTTTTCCTTATTAATTACGAGTAGTAATAGTGTTTAGTTCTTTCTAAAATGCAAAAGTAGAATGCTGCTTATTTAAAAATAACACAGCAAATATAAGAAACTAAACAATTAGCAAAATTATTACAAAAATTTAAAACTAACTGGCTCAAAGTAACTAACTGGCTCAAAGTAAGATCCCTTCTCCAAAGAACTAGCCATGAATTAATTTAATTAACTCGTAAATCTCTTCTCTCTCACCTCGTGAATAATTTTTCTTTAGGCATGAAATGATAGTTTGTAGTTTATTCATGGTCAACTGAATTGCAATTAGTTGAATTATTACGATAAAGTAATCAAGAAAGTCTTTGTCTTGGAAAGATTGATTTCTATGGAGATTTCCAAGGGAAACTTTCATGTGTATGTTGTATTACAGAAAACAACGTAAACAGGGAATTTTGTTTTCTGAAGTTCTTCGTGACTCATGGGGTATATGGTAAGTTCAGTATTCATTGAGTTAAATAAAACTTTGTTACTGTTATCCTTTCTTAAAATCATTCATTAAAATTATCAACACGTAAAAATTTGAAAAAAATTAAAACGTCAAAAGAATTTTTTTTTAAATTTATTTTTTAAAGTTTATTGCAGTCAAAGTTTGCATGATTTTCATTAGTTTACGTGCAAGCCAAAAGTTAGATTATTTGAATTATTAAACGTTTTCATTTTATATTTTCTAAAATTTAAATAAGTTTTAAAGTATTGTCCTTTATTTTATTATACTGAAGCTTAAAATTGTTCAAGGCTCAGAAGAGAAAATTTTGTACTAATTATTTTTATTTCTTTCTCTTCTCTGTGAATACAAAAAAAAGAAATAAAATTATTTGGAATTTTCTTTCACTATATTATTTTCTTTGATAAGATTTAAATCGGGAATACAGGAGGGTACGAGAAAAAACACTAGTGATTTCTATAGAAAAATCTCTATTCTGTTAAAATTAAGACTAATTTGCAGCTTAATTACAATTATGTTTCCTTTCTCAGTGTTAAACAATTTGCAGGAAAGTAATGTACACTGTTAACCTGTAATTTAAGCAAACTTGAATCCCCTCCGTTCTGGTCAATCAAAAAAAAAATTATTCCATGGATTTTATAGCCCGAAATAAAGACAAAAGTCTTCATAGGGGCGATGGGGCAATCTGCACAAAACCTGAGTCCCGAATTCTTACGTTTCAAAATATTGGAAATTCCATAGATCAAATATTGAACTCGAATATTAGCTGTTTTGCATTTCCATTGAAGGTACTTCTTTACAGCCAAGGGAAACTCTTTTTT